AATAGAGAGAAAACATAAAGCAAAAGATAAGAATTGAAAGTTGTGTGGGAAAAGGACGTCGCCGCCTTCTCAAAATGGCCAAAACAAGCTGATGGTCCCCCCCCTCGCTAGCGGCCAAAAGTGGTTGAAAGGACAGAGATCGACTCCAGGATCGAGCGGTTCTCTCGATCATATCCGGACATCGTGTCTTCGGCTCGATCTGGGTCTCGATCATCATCGGCGAATCGAGTGTTGCATCCGATCTCGGTATCGATCTTCGGGTGGATCGAGTGGTGTACTCGATCTGGCTCTCGCTCTGCATGGCGTCATTCACGTCCGTACCATTTGATCGACTGCTTCACTCGATCTTCGTCTTGATCATTCTCCTTAGATTGCCTGGTTGGCTCGATCTTCTGGTCGATCACCTCCTAGATCGACTGGCCATGCTCGATCTGCTCCTCGATCTCTGATCCTTAGCATATATCCGAGCTCCCACGAACTGCTACATCAGCCTCAACATGTCCACGAACCTCCACGACTCCAAAGCAGCCAGAAACAACCTGAATGTGATGCAAAATGCAAGGAACATGCGTATGCTGGTGCAAGAATGCTCTAGAACTCTAAGTGATGCAATCTATCCTAAAATGTGATACAAATGCATGAAAAGTTAACTAATGAGTATGTAAAATGTATGCAATATGTTGTAACATCAACTCCCCCAAACTTACTTCTTGCTTGCCCTCAAGCAACAAAAAATAAGTAAGGAAGAGAGGTTTTCCGAAAAACGAATGTGGATTTAAACTTCTTGCAAAGGTGCCTTTCAAATGAATCAATCTCAATGTCCTAGTTAACAGTTCTAAAATGCTATGCTTACACTCATACTCCAAAGAACTTAGCCATACTCATCACACAAAGAAATTCAAATCATGACTCTCCTATTCCTAACAATCAAAGAAACTCATCCTTTAACATTCATTAACATTAGAACCATGAATCAAACTTATGCACTTTAAAGCAAAACACATTTGGCTAAGGGTGAAGGTTATGAGCATTGAATGATCTCATTTGAAAAGGTTTATAATTAGAACAAGGGTTTCTCTCAAAAATGGTTGACCTTGTGCATAATGCTAAAGGTAAAGACAATTTATGCATACATAATTAGATTCTCATCTACCCATGTAAACTAACAAACGATCCTATACCCCTCTCATTTATCAACTTTTATCCTCACTCACCACTTAGAGTCTACCATTTTTCTTCTCAAAACTTAGCAATCCCCAATTCGAAACAAAAATATTTTTAAACTTTTTAGGCTAGTGAAAAGGTTTTGAAAATAATTTTGCTCTTTAGATATTTCTTATTGCTAGCTCTCTTATTATTTTTTTCTTTTTATTTTTATTTGGCACTTAGGCTCTTTTATTTTTTTTTCTTTTCTTTTTCTTCTTTTTTTTTATTATGGGAGAGCTACCACCTGAAATTTATTAGAGCATACTTAGTTTTTAAAACACAACATTTCACTTAAAACCCATTTCTTTCTTTAAAACACAAAGTTCTTTGAAACCGAGAACAAATAGGAAAGGAAACAACCCCAATGAACCCCCAAACTTATCCTAAGCCTATACCTAGCTTCAAAATGCAAAGCTAGCAATCATATGAAAACCAAATCATGTCGCCTAAACCTAACACTTTATGCCAAGTTCAAACCGAAAGGAAGGCCTCACAAAGATGTCACACAAGAACATTTGGCTTCAAAGAAGGGTAAGGTTCAAGGAGGGAGTTCTACTTAGGCTCACAAAGAGTGGTAAAAAGGAAGAAGAGAACCTAAATATTTTAAAACCATGTGTTCATTTTCAAATGCATAAGAATGATAATTAGAATTTCAAATTAAGGTTCTCACTTATTAGGATGAGTTTCAAATCATGAGAGTTCAATTCAAGCCACGAAAATCCTAACAAGTGATCCAAGCATTTTAGGAACTTACTTTCAAAGCATATACAAAGCATTAGAGAACTACTAACTAGGGCATTGAAACAATTCATAAGTAAAAACACCTTTTTAAGAAACTCTAACCCCTTATGCAAAATGCAAACAACCTAGATGCTATGAGAAACTCTAGACTCAATCCTAACATGTTTTGACAAGATGAATGCAACTACATGAATCTTTGAAAACTTTTTAAAACTTTTACCAATTTTTCATGAACTAAAGACTCAAGGATGCTAAAGGAAAATAAGATCACAGAACACAAGTCAAATCACACATGTACTCCCCCAAACTTGCTTGACACCGTCCCGGTGGCAAACTCATTCGAAGGAGTAGCAAAACACAAAGCAAAAAGAAGCAAATATGAGCGGTTATGTACAATGGAAGAAGGTTGTTACCTCTGGTCTAGTCTCGGCTGGAACTTGAGGATGTTCCAGAGGAGCTATAGACTATGGTCTTGCCTTTGTCGGCTGGTTCTTGGAGAGAGTGGCGCGCCGGCTGAATGGTGCTTCCTTGGGTCTCGCGGATGACAACTCCACCAGTTGAGAGCCTTCTCTTCTCGGGTTGTTGCACCTCTTGACTTGCAGCTTTCTTAGGTGAGCCTCCCTGAAGTGCCTTGACTTTCTTTCCAAGCTTCTTGAGCATCTTGCCTTGCCACTTGTTGATCTTCCTTTGCATCTCCACAACAGATGCTAGGAACTTCTCAGTTTTTGTCCTCGGCTCAAAGTCTAACTTTGGAAGTGTGTAGGCTTCGGGCATCTCATCTTCCGTGGCTGGAGACTCGGATCTTTGACGAGGGGCAATCGCTGAAGCAGGTGGTCCTCTGAGAGGGGCAAAGCATTCTTCCTCCGTGGGCAAGAACTCGATGTTCCCAACACCAAGCAGCTCGGTTTCATCTTTGTTGGGCAGGATGCACACTCTCTTCTTGTCTTCGTCGTCTATGAAGAGGTAGGCGTATCCGCTGGCGTGCGTCCCAAGCTTTCAGTATTCCTCATGTATGCCTCGTCCATGAAAGCTCTGGTTGGTACATGGGCGAAGTCGTGAATGGGCACACCAGCTTTCACGAACAGAGGAGTGAGGAAACCGCCAATGTAAGAGGAAGTGGCCTTGCACCGCAAGGCATAAGCCTTGTATTTCACCAAGGAAGCCGCAAGCACACATCCGTAGTTTACTTCATCGCCGAGTTCATCCTCCATAGGCTCATCATTTGCATCCGGATCACACACCAAGTGCTTCACACCTTGGAACAGGAAGCAAAGCTCTGTCTTTGTGACCGTAGGAGCAACAGATCTTCCACTAAACGTGTTGGCGATCAGCTTCAGAGTGTACCTCAGGACCGGGCTTCTTACTCGCTTGATCTTGGCGGTGTTGGCTTTGTAGTCTTCATTGCTGATCAGGTCCCAAAAGTCGTCGGCTTTCTTGAAGGCGGGGAACTCGACCTTGTAGGCATCCGCGTTGAGACCATAAGCTTGGCATAGCTCAGGGATGGAGAGTGTATAGGCTTGACGGCCAACCTTGAAGTAGAGGCGACCTTGAGAAGGGACGGGTGTGCTAGGATTCTCGTAACGGAACTCCAACGTGGCAAGAAAGTCTATTGTCACTTCTGGAATGGTTGGGCAATCCATCCGTGACAGACATCTTAAGCCAATGTTTTTGAGGAGTTGGTCGAAATCCCCAAGAATCCCTAGCTTGGACAACAGCTCTCGATCAGCAAACTTGGTAGGCTCAAACCGAAGCCTTTCCAGCCGTTTCTTGTCACTCTTCTCATCCTTAGTCCATCTGACCCTCTCTTGAACTGCCACCTCTTGTCCTTCTCCTTCTTGTGCTGTCTCTTCTCTTGTTCTCTTTGGGGCCATTGTTCCTGAAACAAGTTTCTAAAGATATTTGATAAGCAAAACGGCGGTTTTGATGAGAATGAGAGAAGAGAAGGAGAGAACTTATAAAAACTACCCTAGAATTTTAGGGAATTAATAAAAATTATAGCTAAATAAAGGAGAATCATATCTTTAGATACTGAAAAATCTAGAATTATTCCTTTTACTTAGCTAGTTTATAAAAATCAAAACCGACCCTATATTCTAGAACAATATCCTGCGAATTTAAAGGAATTTTTCCTAAAAATAAATCATTAAATTTCGAAAATACGTTTACAAGAAATGTAAAAGATCTTTGCTAGCTTCTGAAAACCGAAACTCTCACTCTCTTTGTTTAAAATTTTCGAGAAAAACAGGAATGAGAGGGTGAGAGGTTGTTGAAATATTTAAAGGCTAGCAAAGAGCAAAACAATGGGTAGTAAAAGTAGTTTTTCTGACAAAGTCTTGGTCAAGGCACATCTTTCATGGTCAAAGATGCTTGTCTTGACCAAGTTTTGAATTTAAAAGTTGGAGGGAAAAGAGTAAAGGAGGGAAAGAAAATGTTACCTCAGCATGAGATCGAGTCCATTTGGTCGATCTAGGACTCGATCTCATGCCCATAATGGCTTAGATCGAGAGGGTTACTCGATTGGAGACTCGATTCATGGTGAATCGAGTCTTGGATCGATTGGCTCTCTCGATCATTGAGATGTTGGCTCCTCGGCTAAGTCCTCATGATCGAGCTATGTCCTCGATTTAGGGGTCTATTTGGCACAGATCGAGTGATGGATCGAGTCGAGTGATCGATCTGTTTTCAACAGATTTTCCCGAGAGAAATTAGATCGGTCTATCCGTTTTGGATCGATCGTTCCTTTTTCGTCAAGGTCGATCTTGTCACTCGTTCTCGTTTAGATCGACTGGCTCCTCTCGATTCACTGACTCGATCTAGCAAAGATCAAGCCAGGATCAGTCGATCTAGCACTCGATCTCTAGCCTTATCTTAACCCCTCTCGCCTCTTTTAGACTTCAAGATCAAGGTTTAGACTCCTCATACCTGTTCCTACACACTTGCAGAATAAAAACATAAAACTGAAAGGGAAATAAAGCGGAAATATGTACAAGATAAACATGGGAATGCCTCCCAAGTGCGCTTTCTTTAACGTCTTTAGCTAGACCTTACTTGGTTTAAGCGGATGGTGGGTCTTGGAGAAGCACCGAGGTACTCTCCTTGTCATAGCCGTCTGCCAAGTAAGGCTTGACTCTGTTTCCGTTGATGGTGAATGCACTGCCACTTTTTTCCATCAGAGTAACAGCTCCATAAGGCAACACTTCTTGAATCACGAACGGTCCGCTCCACCTTGATTTCAGCTTGCCCGGGAAGAGTTTGAGCCTCGAGTTGTACAGAAACACTAAACCTCCTTCCTTAAGCTCCTTGGCAACCAACTTCTTGTCATGAGTCTCCTTAGTCTGCTCCTTGTATATCCGAGAGCTCTCGTAAGCGTTCAGTCTTAACTCATCCAGTTCGTGTAGCTGAATAAGGCGCCTCTCCTGAGCAGTCTTGAGGTCAAAGTTCAGCCTCTTCACAGCCCACAACGCACGGTGTTCCAGCTCAACTGGGAGATGACAGTCCTTCCCATAGAGTAGAGTGAAAGGAGTTGTACCAATCGGCGTTTTGAAGGCGGTACGGTAGGCCCAAAGAGCGTCATCCAGCTTCACTGCCCAGTCTTTCCTTGTTGCTCTGATAGTCTTCTCTAGTATAGCCTTGATTTGCCGGTTAGAGACTTCCACTTGACCGCTTGTTTGAGGATGATACGGTGTAGCCACCTTATGCTTAACTCCATACTTCCTCAAGAGATTCTCAAAGACCTTGTTTATGAAGTGGCTTCCCCCATCGCTTATAACAACCTTGGGTACCCCAAACCTCGGGAAGATGATACTCTTGAACAGCTTGATTACCACCTTAGAGTCATTTGTAGGGGAAGCAACTGCCTCAACCCATTTAGAGACATAATCCACTGCTACTAAGATGTATTTGTTGCCATATGAAGAAGGAAATGACCCCATGAAGTCTATGCCCCACGCGTCGAACACGTCAACCTCGAAGATGGGAACTTGAGGCATTTCGTTCCTCTTAGTGATATTCCCTGCTCGTTGACATGCCTCACAGCTCTTCACAAACTCGTGTGCATCTTTAAAAGTGGACGGCCACCTGAAACCGGCTTGCAACACTTTCGTGGCAGTCTTGAATGAGGCGAAGTGTCCTCCGTAGGAAGAGCCATGGCAATGATAGAGGATGTCCCTGGCTTCTTCCTTTGTAGCACATCTCCGGTACAAACTGTCTACTCCTCTCTTGTATAAGTAGGGCTCGTCCCAAAAGTAGTCACTAGCCTCTCTCATAAACCGCTTCTTGTGATAGCTGTTGAGATGTGTTGGCTCCTCACCACACGCTAGATAGTTCACTACATCAGCATACCACGGTAGATCCTCTTCTTTGAAACTCAACACCTCCTCAAACCTCCCTTCTAGCTTTCCACAAACAGCCGTGGTAATCGCCATGAGCTGCTCTTCTGGAAGAGAGTCATCTAAGGGGAGAGACTCGTTGATCCTTAGCCGTGAGAGATGGTATGCGACTCCGTTTTATATTCCTTTCTTGTCTTTAATCTCCATGTCAAACTCCTGGAGTAACAGAATCCATCTTAAGAGCCGAGGTTTAGTGTCTTTCTTCAAGTAGATGTATCGCAAGGCAGCGTGATCCGTGTATACAATAGCCTTGGAACCAACGAGATATGATCTGAACTTCTCAAAGGCGAACACTACTGCAAGCAACTCCTTCTCCGTAGTGGTGTACCTTGTTTGCGTGTCATCCAAGGTTCTTGAAGCATAGTAGATCACGTGCAGCTTCTTGTCTTTCTTTTGACCAAGAACGGCTTCTACGGCGTAGTCACTAACATCACACATGATCTCAAAGGGAAGAGACCAGTCTGGTGCTTGGACTATAGGAGCTGATGTAAGGGCTTCCTTGATGGTCACGAAAGCTCTCAAACACTCCTCATCAAACACAAACTCAGCTTCCTTGCACAACAATCGTGTAAGAGGGCGTGCAATCTTGGAGAAATCCTTGATGAAGCGCCTATAGAACCCTGCGTGTCCCAAGAAGCTTCTGACTCCCTTAACATTAACTGGCGGCTCAAGACCCATCATGACTTCCACTTTAGCCTGATCAACCTCAATGCCCTTCTCTGATATCTTATGACCAAGCACGATCCCTTCCTTAACCATAAAGTGGCATTTCTTCCAGTTCAGCACCAAGTTTATCTCTTCACAACGCTTTAGTACCCTGCAAAGATTCAACAAACACGCAGAAAAGGACGCACCATAGACAGAGAAGTCATCCATGAACACCTCTACCATCTCCTCTATTAGATCGGAGAAGATCGACATCATACACCGCTGAAACGTAGCCGGTGCATTACACAATCCAAACGGCATCCTTCGATATGCAAAGGTACCGTAGGGACACGTGAAGGTCGTCTTCTCCTGATCATTTGGGTGAATTGGTATCTGAAAGAAACCGCTATACCCATCGAGAAAACAGTAGTAAGGGTGATTAGTAAGTCTCTCAAGCATTTGATCAATAAAAGGCAAAGGGAAATGGTCTTTCCTAGTCGCAAGGTTGAGTTTCCTATAATCAATACACATCCTATGTCCAGTGATGGTTCTAGTAGGGATAAGCTCATCATTTTCATTCCTTATGACAGTGATCCCTCCCTTCTTAGGCACCACGTGTACAGGAGAAACCCACGTGCTGTCACTTATGGGATAGATCACGTCAGCCTCTAAAAGCTTAAGGATTTCTTTCTTAACAACCTCTTTCAAATTAGGATTCAAACGCCTTTGATGTTCTATAGAAGAGGCGTTCTCATTATCCAAGTGAATCCTATGAGTGCAAAGCATTGGTGAAAGGCCCTTGATGTCACTTAAAGAGTACCCAATGGCCTTCCTATACTTTATCAGCTCAGTCAGGAGCGAGTGCAACTCATCATCACTTAAGTTTTCATTCACAATCACGGGATATGTGTTATTAGGCCCTAAGAAAGCATACCTTAGCCCTTTTGGGAGCTCCTTAAGGTCCACCTTTGGGGCTAACAGCTCACTCCAGTAATCCTCGTGGCTGTTGTTGTTGCTTTCCTCCTTGGAACTCTCCTTAGAACCCGAGGCATGGCCTTTTAGACTGCTTTCCTCCATCGCTATCCCTTCTGAAATCGAGTCCTCCAGTCGATTCTCCTCTCGATGTCGTCTAGATCGAGCCATTTTACTCGATTCACTTACTCGATTTGATGTGGATCGAATAAGGGATCGAGACGCTGAGTCGATCTCTTGATTGGACCCCATAATGATCGAAAGGTCTCTCTCAATCGTCGACTCGATTGTTTTTCCTGATCGAGCATTCTTCTCGATCTGTCTGTTGATTGTTGCACCGGATCGAGTTGTGTTCTCGATTGCCTTGTCGATCTGACTCCTGGATCGAGTGATAGCGTCGATCTCGGAGTCGATCTCTTGGCAGCAACCTTCATCATTCTTAACAATCCTCCTGGAATCCAGCAGGTTGACGTACTCCTAGGTCCTCTGGTCCACATAGCCAAACTCCCCTGGCTCCTTAGTCAGTGCTAGCTTCAGATGGTCTTCTAGAGCCAGCTCTTCCAGCAACTCATCCGCTAAAGCATCCATCATTTCAATATAGAAAGCTTTCCCTTCAATGGTCGGCTTCTTCAGAACCTCATTGATGTCGAAGTCAAGCCTTATCTCCTTTCCCAAATGCAAGGCAATCTTCCCATTCTTCACATCTATGATAGCCCCGACGGCTGCAAGGAATGGTCTCCCTAAGATGAGTGGATCCTTAGGCTCTTCATCCATCTCCAACACGACGAAGTCCGTAGGCACGTTCACTCCAGTGATTCGCACCGGTAAATCTTTAAGCAGCCCCACTGGTAGCCTCACACTCCTATCAGCCAGTACCAATGAGATCCGACAGTCTTTGAAACGAGTAAAGCCAAGCTTCTTAGCCACGGAGTGAGGCATCAGGTTTATGCTAGCTCCGAGATCACATAAGCAACTCATGAACTCTAGAGGGCCTAAAGCGCAGGGTATAGTGAAGCTTCCAGGGTCTCCCAACTTCTTAGGGACTATCTCCTTATGTATCACAGCACTACACTCTTCACTTAGAACAAGTACCTCCTTGCTTTCCTTATTCTTCTTCACGAGAGTGTCTTTGAAGAATTTGGCGCATTTACGCATCATTGCAAGGCAGTCAACGAGAGGTAGCTTGATCTCCACGTCCTTAAGATGCTTCTCAAAGAGGATTCTATGCTTCTCTATGAGTTGCTTCTTGAAGCGGCCAGGAAAAGGCAGCTTAGGTACATACGGTGGAGGCACATAAGCATTTTTCTCCTTAGTAGTTTGCTCAGCTTTCTTCTCAGCAACTGCTTTGTCTCCTCTTCTTGGCCCTTGGATCCAAACGTTGTAAAAGTTAATCTCATCATCATCAGCCGAAGGTTTACCCTCCCCCTCTTGAATTACAACGTCCTCGTTGTTCTTGGTAGAGACCGGAGGTTCGAGCTCTTTGCCGTTTCTCAACGTTATGGCATTAGCATACTCCTTGGGATTCTGCTCACACTTTCCCGGAAGACTATTCTGACCACTCGTACTCGCTTTCCCCTTCTCTAGCTGCTTGATCTTGTTGTTTAAGTTGGTGATCTGAGTGGAGAAGTCAGTGAGAGACGAGTCTAGACGAGTGTTCATCTCGGCGAACTTCTGTTTTGTAGAGGCTTGCCCTTGTATCAGCTGTTGAAACATTGCTTGAACCGGATCAACTTGTTGTTGCATCGGTTGTTGCTGCTGAGGTGCAAAGCCCGGAGGGTAGTTAGGTGTATAACCCTTGTTATTTTGATGTTGCCCTTGGAAGTTGTTCTGCCCTTGACCTTGGAAACCACCACTCGGTTGAAAACCTTTGTTGTAAGGGATGAAAGGTTTTGCTTGCTGAGTAGGGTACACCTTATCTTTAGGGTTGGCTACGTTGGTGCTTCGGTAAGAGTGGTTGTTAGTCTGGTAGCCTTGGTTGTAGCCTTGAGGTTTGTAGTTGTTCTGTCCCGCCACCCAATTGGCTTCTTCTTGGCTCAACTCTAACTCCTCTTGGTTCTCATCAGCTTCACCAACAAAGTGAACATGCTTCTGATTGGCTAACACCAGCTTATCTATCTTCTCATGCAAGGATTTCAGTTCCTTCTTGTGAGACTCTAGCTCTGATCCTCTCGATGCACGGTCATAATCCTCAGCGTAGTTGCCATCACTCAATGCTAAGTTTTCTATTAGCTCCATACCCTCTTCTACCTCCTGACCGAGGAAGTTCTCTTTGCTAGTTGTGTCAAGCAACAACCTGATCTTTGGTGAAGCTCCACGGTATATGGTACTGAGTAGTGTCTCCTTGCTGAACCCGTGATGAGGACATTGGATCGTGTAGTCTTTGAAACACTCCATTGCCTCGTTGAATGTCTCATTGTTCCTTTGAGTGAAACCGCTGATTTCGCTTCTCAACCGTGCTGTCCTGGTGCTTGAGAAGAACTTTGAGAGAAAGGCCTTCTTACACTCGGCCCATGAGGTGATGGTGCCTTGTGGTAGGGTCTTCTCCCAATGCCTAGCTTTACCTACGAGTGAAAAGGGGAAGAGACGCAGCTTGAAAGCATCTTCGGATATGCCAATGATCTTTATCATCCCACATACTTGCTCGAAGTTGTCGAGGTGCTCCAAGGGATCTTCCATTGCTAAGCCGTGGAACTTGTTATTT